TTGTTTTTTTGAAAAAGTTTGGAGTTTTCTTCCAACAAATCATTTATTTTTGTTTTCAAATCTTTATTTTTAACATAAGATTCTCTCAAATATTTATGCATTTTAATCATAAGAATTTACACATCATCATCTTCATTATCTTCATCACTAGAAGAGTGATAAGAATTTACCTCATCTTCTCCAAATTCCATTAGTGCCATTTGGGCCAACTCTTCTTTTTCTCTTCTTGAATTGCATTCATCCCATGTAATTTTGCAATCTCCTCTTGAACTTCTCTTGTTGAAGATCTTCTTGAATCTTTTGATGTGAGGAGTTATATCATTGTCCACTTCCATGTTTTCATTACCCATGAAAGATGGGTTATCCCCCACTTGAAATGCTTTAAAAGCTATGCCTCTCTTATACATTCTTACATTTTCTTCCTCTTGCACTTTGAATTTCAGCTTTAATTCATAAGAGGTTAGGGAATTCACAAGAGATTCAATGGACATAGAATTTAAATCCTTTGCCTCTTCTATAGCATTTATTTTGTTTTTTCATTCTTTTGGCAAGGCATTCAAAATCTTTCTATTTTTCTCACCCAAAGAATATTCTTTTCCAAGCAATTTAAGATCTTGAATAATGTCACAAAATCTACTACACATCTTATTAACATTTTCAAGAGGATGCATTTTGAAAAATTCATATTGAGAAACAAGCAAAGATTTCTTTTGTTCTTTAATATCTTGGTTACCTTCATGAAATACACACAATTTATCCCAAATATCTTTAGCTGATTTACAACCTTTAATTCTACTAGATTCATTTACATCTAATGCATTGCACAATATATACATGGCCTTGGCATTCAAAAAAAGGTATCTCTTGTCTTTTTCATTCAATTCTTGTCTAGTCTTTAATCTACTCAAATTAGTGGTAGAGTCAACTATTCTAGCTTCATAAGGACCATTTTCTACCACATACCATAATTCAATATAAACGGATTGTAAGAAAATCATCATTCTTTGTTTCCACATGCTAAAATGAGAACCATTAAATATAGGTGGTCTATCAATAGATTGCCCTTCTAAAAAAGGAAACTTTTATGGTTGCCATGATCTTTACTCTAAGCGGTTAAACTTGATCTCTAGGAGACCAAGCTCTGATACCAATTGAAAGCCCCGATGCAACCAAATACAACCAAAATACTCAACCAGACAAGTAGTCAAGTAAATACAATGACAAAGAATATAAGCAATTTTAAAGCACAAAAATAGAGTAACAATAAAGTAAAAGAAATTCAAACCAATCAAACTCCCAAGCTTCTTCCAAACTTGGAGTTGAATCCACCAAATAGTTTCTTCAATTGATGGTAGTGCTAACCAACTTGAACAAGTGAAGGCTCACTCCTTCCTCACCCCAAACATACTCTCCAAGTAAAGGAATTTTACTACTCTCCAAGTAAACCCTCAACTAGCTACAATTGAAAGCTTACCCACTCAATTAAGAACTACTTTATACAAGTGAGGCAACCTTTATCAAGGTTTTACCACTCCAAGTGATAGGTTCACCTTCACCAAGGTTTTACTCCTCCTAGAGAGTAACCTTCACTTGAGCAACCTCACAACCCAACTTTCCCAACCCTTATACAACCAACAAAGAATATTTCTACTCAAAGATCTCACTTGTAAGCTTGTATATAGTGTTGGCAAAAAGTCTATGTCTTCTTGTGCTTTGGGGTATTTATAGAATGTGAGAAATGGCTCCAAAAGACTCTCCAACGGTCAAATATTAAATGCTGTCGAAACTAGCCGTTGGCCTGTCGGACGTCCGAACCATTTGCTCTGCGTCCGAACCATGCGTCCGAACCACCTATCGGATGTCCGAACCATTTGTTCTGCGTCCGAACCCTGCGTCCGATAGAAGTCAGAATGTTCAACTTTCATTCTTTTTGTGTCGGACGGCCGAAGCAATGAATGAGCGTCCGATCCAAGCGTCTGAAGTGTATCGTCGTTTGTCGGACGTCAGATCCTCTATCGAGCGTCCGATCCTCTACGTCCGAACCTTCAAAATTCTTAACTTCTCTTTGATTCAAATCTTTTCGATTCTCTTTTAGATCAATGACCTGTTCTAACAAATTTCTCACATAAAAATATTAGTCCAAATCTACATTTTGGTTTGTTAATCATCAAAACCAAGGACTGATCAACCAAGGTCAACATATGTATGTATGGAGGGGATCTTTCCTGAACTCCCAGGAATAACTTCCTTGTCGCATCAATGCTGAGAACGTGGTGTCTCTTATTGCATCCATTATGGTCGAGCAGGCAGCAGCCACACGCGAATCTAATTCTCCTAGTCCACGTCTTTCTCTTGGACAGTTGGTGCCTGATCTTGATTTCTGGGGGCGAATAGGGGCTCTTCAAGGAAGTAGAATGTGGCATTCTACTTGGTGCAGGTAAGGACATCATTGCGATGCAGTGTGCATAAGTAGTCGTGGCAGGAGGAATTGGAACAAGAATTGCAGAGCATGATTGCTGGAATTAGGATATTTAGAATCGAGGACCAATATGGTTGGGCCTTCTGTTATTATGATAATGGGCCTGGTGCGAGGCCCATGTACATTTTAAGTGGCCCATTGGATAAAAAAATTAAGAACATTTTCGACAAGAATGGATTGGGCCTTATGCGAGGCCCAGTTGTCATTTAACTGGCTCAGTGGGTCAAGAAGTTGATAATATTTTCGATAAGAATGGATTGGGCCTGATGGGAGGCCCAGACAAATTTTAATTGGCCCAATAGATCAAGAAGTTGAGAATATTTTCATCGTAGATGGATTGGACCTGGTGCGAGGCCCAGTTACCATTTGATTGGCCCATCTGATCAATAAATTAGGAATATGTTGGGACTCTGTATAAGTGGCCCACAAAATGATAACCCTAATTCATCGCAAGCACTTCTATTCACTTATCTTCCCCGGCAAGCACAGTGGCACACAGCTCCTTTGATTTGTTAGATGAGAATATGCTCCAGCCTTATGGCCGAAAGCATCCATAATTCAAATAATCGTCGCCTCATGAATCATAATCTATTAGGATGGATGATTTATTTTGCACTTAGATATTGTGATTGAAACTCCATTACAAAGAGCATGAATGGGGTGGAAGACCGTCGGAGCACAATTCCCCTAACTTACTTGCGAATTGAAGCAGGAAGTGGAGAGAGTTGGTATTTCTATTGAACTACTCCCGTGTGCTTGCACTTGATGAAGATAAGATAACTGGGAAGGAAGTGTTTGTGTTTTCAGGTGAAATCTTAGGGATTCAGTGAAACGACGTCAATGACACACAGTGTGGAGCTCTACCTAGATGACGTCACTCAACCCAACCTGATGACGTCACCCAACCCATTGCAAAGTATTTGTTGTATTAGGTAGATTGGGTTGAGTACACGTGGCACATTGATAATGGTTGTATAATGGGCCCCTTTGAGGCCCCTTTCCTGAGCGTCTTATAATATTACAAAGACGTTCAGGGCGGACACGTGGACAGTCGAAAGGCTTCCATGTGTCAGATGGACGGTCTGGATTTGATCTGGTAAGGAGGGAAAAATTAAAATTCGAAATTTGAATTCAAATTTCCTTGGCCCGAGAAGTGAGCCTACCTCGGCACGTAGGCCGTCAAACCCTTTTGCCATATGGCCGAAGCCCACGGGCGGCTTTTGTAAAGGTGGCCCCCACACGGATGAATGGGATAGAAAAAGAATCGGGGAGAGGAGACCACTATTGCAATTTGGAATTCAAATTCAAAATTGAAATTCGAAATTATCCCGCCTGGGGCACGATTGCTACCACGTGTTCCCAATTTGATCGACAAGAATCGAGACACGTGGCACGAGAAGAGAAGGATAAATGCAACTGAAATCGGAGACTTTCAGCCTTCCTTCCGCAACACGCCCGTTTTGTAGAAGATTGGTTGATATGCTGCATTTTGAAGGGCTATAAGTTAATTCAAAGAAGTGTGAGTGTGGCATCAGAAGAAATGGTAAACATGAGGGACATGGCAGGATTCTTCAGGGTCGTGAGGGACTGCGTAGACATATACATATATATATGTAGATATATATATGTATATATTATAGATAGACACATAGTATATGTGTGTATATATATATACACACACATATATTTATATATTAGTAAATTTATAAAATAATCTAAATTCTATGACCATTGGATCGAATACTATAAGATTTTACGATTGTTTTCTCTTTTGAAACTAATTCTAGTTGTCATTGTAATTGGTACAAACTGTTTTAGGAAAAGGAAAATAGCAAAGGCAAACAATTAAAAGTTTAGGCATGGATATAGTTGAAATTTTGAAAATAAATAGAATCAGTCAATAATAGTTCATTTTTTGAGTTCATAATATTGTATTCAACTTCTTGAATATTTATTTTATTATTTGAAAATAAAAATTGAATGGTATTTATATTACTTTTAAACTCTATATAATTTTACTTTGGTATGTTAAAAAAATACAATGGATATCTATTGGGTACCCATGAGAATCTAGATCTGAACTTTCTTTTTCGGACCCATAAGAGTTTGGATTTAGGTCTGGATCTAATTAAATTAATAAATGGGTGGATTTGGATCAAAGAATTCAACTCAAATTCTGTCCATTGACATGCCTAATTAGCACCTAGTCAAAAAGACAAAAACCACCCCAACGTGAAACCAAAAAACATATAGAAAATCACTCGTGAAATTTATGTGTGAAACCTCGAAATAGTAGAGAAGGTTGCCCGCGGGAGAATCCAATGACAAATTGATAATCCGTTAATCACTTATGACTTTTTTCTTCATATTTAAAAGGATGAAAAAAGGAGCGAATCCAAATTTTTTTATTTTGTAATTATACAAGAAAGGAAGGTATTTCTGTCTAAAATCTTTCTAACATACTAGGTTCAACGGTGAGATAAAGTGCCTATTAGAATGTAAACCTAGTCTTTTTTGTTGGGTCAAAAATCAACTTTTAGATAAGTATAAACAGTAGATACAGGTTTAGTTAGACTGCGCAGCAGCTTTGTAAGAAACGGGCAACTGCCAGGAAATCTTTATGGGCCTCTCTATTAAGCCACATAAGAAAGGACCCTTCCACCAAGTTTCATGTAAAAGGTAGATAGCCAATTTGGCTAAGTCATGTCTACACAAGTTCATCTCTCTTTTAAACTAAAAAAAAGTACACTTCCAAAACGATCGGCTAAGCTGTCTGATGTCGTTAATGATCTCATCCAGTGGGGACAACCCATTGCAGCTTTGATTGATTCTCTCCACCACAGCTTTACAATCGGAAAGAATCAATAAATATGTCGTGCTTTCCTCAATAGCTTAGAGAAGTCCGGATGGTAATAGCCTCTTGTATTGCTGCATCATTAGCACATGTACATGGTATGGACCAAGTTATGATAATGTTGCCATTGCTTCCTTTCGCTACAATTCCCATCCCAGATTGAGGGTTACTCTGACTGAAGGCTGCGTCAGTGTACATGTGGTGGCATGTTGCATAAGAAGATCAGCTAGTATGCCTTGACTGTCATCCACATGATTGTGATCTTCAACAGCATTGTTTGCAATCCTATCAAACCTCTTTGAATTTGATCCAGTTTCCCACAGCTTTCTTGGAAATTTGATGGTTGTCTTTTTGCTTCTGGTTGAAGGACCACTCATTTATTGTTTTTCATAGCTGCCAGAGGAAGTTGGCAGTGACTTCAATGTGTTCCTAACCATCCAATCTTGATCTTGCTTCTTGCATGGATTCCCACCATATCCAGAAGTTCCATTTATGCTCACTAATGCCATCCCACACAATGGGGAACATGTTCCAGGCAAATTCTCTTGCTTTGCACAGGAGAAAAGCATGTTCCAATGTTTCAGGGGCTTCACCACAGCATTTGCACATTGGGTCTCCCTTTACCTATTCTTCTAAAAATCTCCTCATAGTGGTAGAATGTAGTGGAGGCACTTCCACAGAAAATGCTTAACTTTGTCTCTTAATGTTCAACCCCCACAGCTGATTCCAGACTTTGGATTTCTCGTTATTTCTGCTGGAGTTCACATGTGCTTTGTTGGCATATGATTTCTCCGTCTCTCTTTTGCCCTTGCATAACCTGATTTGGTTGAGCAGAATCCATTTGCTGTGTGTTGCCATCTGCACCTATCTTTTTTCCCCAAAGATGCTCAAATGAATTTGTAAGATACCTTCAGCCTCTTCCTTTGAGAACATAGAACGGATCAGGTTGCTATTCCACTACTATCCTTGAATCAACCTGCTAACCATCACTAGTTGGCAGTCTTTTGGTCTAGCTTAGATGATCTTCCCATTGCTAGAATATCCTACCCACCTATCCTCCCATATGTTGTCAGATTTACCATCTCCCACCTGTTTCCAAACACCACTTTCCAGCATATTTAGAAGCGATGTAAACTTTACCACATCCAAGAGACACCAGCCTTAACATTCGACTCAAAAATGAAGGTTTTAGGATATTACTTGCCTTTTATTAGGGCTGCAAACGAGCCGATCCGAGTCGAGCTTTGAGCTAATCGAGCCGAGCCTTAGCCAAATTTTATCAAGCTCGAGTTCGAGCTCGAGCTCGACGAGCTGGCAATTTTCGAGCTCGAGCTCGACTCGAATCAAGTCGAGTCGAGCTCGAGCTCGAAAAAAATAAAAAAAAAATTTTATTTTTAAAAAAAATAAAAAAAATAATATTTTTTTCTGAATAAATAATAAAATATTAAGGATATATCCGTAATTTCACTATGAAAATAAAAAATAAAAAATATATATATATAATATACGTAATTTTATTATTAAATAAAAATAAAAATAAAAAAATATATATATATATTCAAGATTGCGAGCCGGCTCGCGAGCTAACGAGCTTAATATTCTGAGCTCGAGTTCGAGCTCGAGTTTGACTCGAGCTGGCTCGAGCTCGACTCGAGCTCGATTAATGTCGAGCTCGACTCGAGCTTGACTCGAGCCGCTCGCGAGCGGCTCGCGAGCGGCTCGATTCGTTTGCAGCCCTACCTTTTATCACCTTGCTAACCAACAAGTTTGGATAGGTGCCAGCTAGGCAACATTGAAACATTGTATTACCCTAAAACCGAATCCTCCGTTACCTTTCATTTCAGAGAGATCATACCATTTTATCCAATGCATTCTCCTTTGCCCTTGGTCATTTCCCCACCAAAATTTAGCCATAATTCCAATAAGAACTTTGCAGAGGTTATCAGATAATTTGACTAATGACATAGCATAAGAGGGAAGAGCAAGAGATTTAAGGAGAACCTCCTTACCAACATTGCTACGCAGTTTACCTTTCCCATTCTGGACCCGGGCACTCATGTTATCCTTTATGAATCTGAACACACTGTTCTTAAATCTACCAATTACCATTGGCTTAGGTATTTCGTTTGTGTTGCATATTGTATTCCTCCTAACTGGTGCATCACATCCTCCACATTTCTAGGACTGGTATTCTTGCTGAAAAAGACAGCAGATTTACCAATATTGATCTGTTGGCCAAAGGCTTGCTCATAGCATTGTAGGTCTTGCTTAGCTTTGCAAAAGATCCAAGAGTTGGCAGCAAAAAATAAATGAGATACAGGGGGATTTTGTCTAGAAATTTTCACTCTAGTAAGCTTATTATTGTCGACAGCATTGTTAATGAGGTTAGAAAGACCCTCAGCACAAAACACAAAGAGATAAGAAAATGAAGGGTGCCCTTGCTTAATGGCTCTAGAAAGGCAAATGTAACCAGATTGAACAGCATTTATATTGAAGAAGTAAGACACAGAAGAAAGACAGCCATGAATCCATTTGATACAGAGTGGACAGAAGCCCATTTTGCTAAGCAAGACATACAAAAATTTTCACTCAACTCTATCATAGGCTTTAGACACTTCTAATTTAAGGGCCATATAGCCATCTCCCCTGCCCCCCTCCACCTTTCCCCTCTCTTAGAATGAAGACACTTCTAATTTAAGGGCCATATAGCCATCTCCCCTGCCCCCTCCACCTTTCCCCTCTCTTAGAATGAAGCCCGTGAATATACTCATGAGCTGTGATAACAATATCTAATATTTGCCCATTGGGTACAAATGCTGCCTAAGACATCTCCCCTGCCCCCCTCCACCTTTCCCCTCTCTTAGAATGAAGCCCGTGAATATACTCACGAGCTATGATAACAATATCTAATATTTGCCCATTGGGTACAAATGCTGCCTGAGAATTACTAATGCAATAGTTCAGGAGGGGCTTAAGTCTATTCACCAGGAACTTAGCAATGGTTTTATACAAAACATTCCATAAACAAAGAATACTTTATATAATTTTAAACAAAGGTTATGATAGACATTTCATACAAATAAATATTAAAAATATTCAAGTATATGTGTGTGAAGCTCAATTGAACTCAATTAAGCTTGACAAATTTTTGCCTCACATATTAGGTTCGAGTTTGAAGTTGTCACTTTATTAGAACTGTTCGAATAAAATGCTGAACTCCGTCAATACAACTTTAACCTCAAAATTTGACCGAACAAATTCATGAGTGACTAGATTGGCCTCAATTAGTATAGATTGCACCCTAACACTTAAATACTTCTTGATTTTATGGTCTCCCCTGCTCAAAGCCAATTGAATCAATATTGTGGCTTTTAGATTCTGACCCCACCACTGAAGAAGCCATCTGGAACTTTGGCAGATTTTTCCAAGGCCATATCTATCTTTACATCCCCTTTTCACTCCTAATTGACAATGTTACCATATTGGAAACTCCTAATTGATTAACTAAAATTGGCACAAAAAATAAATGAATTTGAAAATTAAAAAAATTAAAAGAATCGCGGCAATCATTAACAAAATTGCCATTTATAATAGCATTTTTTCTACTACAGCAATAAAAGACAGAATTTTTAACACTACTATTACCCAACACATCAAATAGACGTAGGAAGCAAATATAGCTTATTTGAATTCCTTTTGCTCTGAAATCCTGATTGTCGTCTTCCAATCGCAACCATAATATTGATCCTATCTGTTAAATGATGTTTGGTGAATTATAGAATGTCTTCTAACATTAGAACTTGTTATGATAAGCTACAATATTTTTCTGCTAATTTCCTCTTTAAGTTGCTCTTTTTGCTGCTAAACTTGTATTTCTATTTTGTTATCTTGCTGCCTTTATAATCCCAGAGTTGGAGTACTATTTGTTGCAACAATAGCTGTAAAATTACATCTATGCTGCAACTTCTATTTATTACACTTGCATCTCCCCTATTTGTCTTTTGCCATAGGTTGAATTTTGGTCTTATAAAAAGGTGAAATTCACAAACAGTTAGCAAGACTAAAGCAGCCAAAATTTTGAATGTTGATTCAAATATGTCAAAGGATCCAGCTTAACAACTCTCCCCGAAAAGAGGACCAAAAAACATTTGTAAGATGCCCCCAATACTCAATGGTCAATACCAGGCAATTCCATCCTTGCGACATACTACAAATCAGTGCCAGTGTCAATTGATAATGTCCACCTTTCTAGTTTAAATAATAAAACCCCAAAAATTCGATGAGACAATAGCGGAATTGTAAATACCAAGCTACCTAGAAATTAAAGAAAAAAAAACACACACACACACACACGCACACACACACAAAATGCCCTACCTAATTTTCATCAAATAGGGCTGCATTTACTACACATAAATAAAAGAGCAGCCTAGATAACAAAAGAAAATTTTTGTTGTAAGACAGCATATCTCTGTACGAGATTAACTCTTCAAAGGAAAAATAAAATGAAGCATGACCAGAAAAACTGAACATCAAGTAGCAATAGCAGAATAACCACACCATACCTAACAGCTCACATAGAGCAAGTATCTTTGACTGTTTTCTGACATTGGCAGAATACCAAACACTTGGGGTGGAATTCCAATTAATGCTCCAAGTTCAGTAAATACATTTATTTTCAGAAATCACCTCAACCAAAAGGACACCATTTTCTTCCCCTGCACCGCCCCTCATTTTTCCATATTGATTTTGTATCAAGAGTCAAAGATACAGTGATCCAGGTCATGAATAGTATCCCCAATTTAAATATAAAGTTAAAACTGCTGCTTACGGTAATCATACAGCAAATCAACATTAATGAATTTAATTAGGATTATGAGTCAATAAATGGAGCACAGAAAAAAATGTAGCATAGATTCAGGACCAAAAGGAGAATGAAAATAACCTCTTGACTCAAGCTGAATAGTGAAACAAAACAAATGTCAGAGAACTACTACACCACAAAGGAACTTTTACAGCTGCAGCCACCCACAGCAATTGGGTTTGTAGATACCTGCATACCAAAAAAACCTTGTTGCTGCTTTATGGACCAAAATCCTGTATAGTAACCAATAAAGGCATTTATAACCAGAATCTACAATCCGTTAATCCAAAAAAAGGCAGATAGAACACAGTATTAAGTAAATTCGACATGTACATGAAGCATTCTAGATCTAAAAACTGAAACTGGAAGAAGCCTGCCCCATATAAAGGAATCATGTTGGTCAATTATCTTTAAAATGTAATGCTGATGAAAGCACATCACCTAATACATCAGGAGAGTGAGAAAGTACTTTGTTCATGAACTCAAAGATGAAAGTTCTATGTAACAATGTTGTTTGGTCAGGCTAAGTCAGTCAATTATTTGTTTTCGACTTTTTATTGGTGTAGAATGTCTCATAAATCATCCCAAAGAACCTTAAATTTAAGGCTTAAATTACTCACTGCACACCAAAGCAGAGATATAGGCTTAAACCATTCTTTACAATTTGCTTACTCCAGTCAGTCAAGCCAGTTTGTTTCTAATCCACAATCGAGAGTCACAAACTTCTTGACTGTTTGCAACTCCGAAGCTTAAACTATTTTTTGCCATTCATAATAAAATTATCCAAGAAACACTGCAGCAAGGTTAATTTGGGAAAAAGATGCCTTTTGTTTTTTAGGACTTAACATTTTCCCCTGTCAACTATATTACCGGTAGGGCAAAGCGAAATGTAAAGCAGAAGTCCTATCTCCAGAAAATCAATTACTACTCAGCAGCTTATATATGCAACAGAAAAATACTTCATGCTGCAGAACCAATAATATGCAACAACAGACCTGGAAAGCTGAACGGATAAGCTCTTCAACATAATCAACAGTTGCACCCTTTACAAAATCAAGAGATATTTTATCAACTACCAATTTGACTCCTTTGCGCTCAAAAATTCTGCAAGGTCAAAGAATAGGAGGCAAGAATGTGAATGACTAAACCACAAAATAGTTGAAAATATCAAATGAAAAAAAGCAATAATCCACAGTTGGGAACTTATTCAAGTGGAAAATCACGCGAACCTGTCATCATCATTGCACTTATCATCAAGAGAGAAGTTATACTGAAAACCGGAACAGCCACCGGCTTCTATGCTCAATCTTAGCATCTTTTCCTTGCCTTCCTGAGATTGCAGATCCCTCATTCTCTGTAGGAAAGTGACATAACCAAATCTAGTCAACAAACAGTTAATATGTGAAACTAGCAAAAGCACATCAAACAATCAGAGTAACAGACTAACTACAATGAACTTAACAATGTAAATTTGCTCTTCTTTTCACTTTTTCTTTTACCTTTTTTTGGGGGAGGAGGGGATGGAGGAAGAAGGGGGGTTAGATGCAGTTGGAGATTAACGGAGCCTAAAATTGCATTCAACTTTTGGCTTGATTAGCCAAGATAAAATGAGCTTTTATTCAAATGAGCTAAATTCAAAGTTAAGTAACTTGACTTACTCGCATGTAGATTTCAAGTTATATGCTTATTGACCCTAGCTCACCAAGTAAACAAACACTAAAATCTATCGCCCTTGGTGAATCAATTAATGAACCAATAGCTCAAGCAAGCTCTAATCAAGCCAAACTGGAGTTGAGCCTGGAGAAGTTTGGTTCATCTCTCAAACTACAAGAAATACCAAATGGAAGCAAAGCTCACCACAACAGGACCATTTCATGCAAACTTCAGAAAGTGCCTTTAAAAGAAATATGGTACAGTAGTACATAACTTTGGAAAGCAGGCTAAAAGAAATTCTTAGTTAGCAAGCCAAATTATTTTTGTCATCACTCATCTTCTAAGATCCAAAAGAAAAGATGACAATATAAATGGACATAGTTTTATTGCCTCAGAAGTTGCCTCGTTCCCTTTAATTATTTAAATTACTAATCCAAAACTACAAATATTTGCATATTATTCAGTAGAATTTCAACAAACTATGAACCGAATATCATTTTAGACAATCACTCAATATCAATATCCGAATTGAAAGAGTAGGTTGTGAAATGAAACAATTAAAAATCAAAGTTACATAGTAAAGGGAAAACGAAAACAGAAAAAAAAAAAAAAATGGGTTACACGTTTTGTAATTGCAAACTAAATAGAATAAAATGGAGCACCTGGACGCAATTGTCGGTCATGTGAACCGCAACTATAGATTGAGATTGACATTGAGATTGGGAATGCGAAGACAGCAGAGGAGGTTGTTCGTGGAGAGCAGAGGATGATGCCAATGTCGAACTGAGGAGTCTCAGGTGGTTTTCTCGAATCCGAGTTGAGAAGAAAGGAACCAGTCGACGAATCATCGAATGATACGGTTTCATAATCCTTACAATACTGTTTCACCCACCAAAGGAACCTAAATGAAGGAGACATCCATTTCCCTTTATCTCAACTTTGGGTTGCACAATGCAAACGTAGGGACACGACACGACAATTAAAAGTTGAAACAGTTGAGAATATAACTGAATCAAAGACTCGGTCGAGTCCCAGTCGACCGGGCTGAGTCCTCACCGCAACTTCCGCAACTGGTCCGTCATATACCGGAGACGGTAGACCCGGTGGAAACTCGTTCAAACTCGGAAGATTCGGGCCGAGTCGACTCCGGGACTCGAAAGAGCGGCCGAGTCTACCCGTATTGAGTCATCAGATGTCCATGAACGGAAGGTTTCACCATGATTTTCAGAGACTTTTAGGGTATGCACAAATAAATTTAAAAAAAATCCTTACCCATATCCGATTTACGAGAAATTGCACAGAAAGACAGAAATAACAAATCAATATTTAACCCATCATTCTCCTTTTGAACACTCTTCAGTAAACAGCAAGTGTGTGGCAAAATGAAAAAGCGAAGAAGGCGAGGAGGCTTTCATACCATATGCACGGCTGGTGGTTAGGGGCTGGCAAAATGCCGACTAATCCGAAAACTCATCGTATGGATTCGATCCTATCCAAAATACTCGAACCATAGTATTTGATCGGATCGAAAGACGATCAGGTACCTATTTAGACGCGGGACGAATTACAATCACGTAATCAAAAATTCGCAGGTACCGACACATCTCGTAAATATATTTTTTTTTTATATTTTTTAGTTTTATATACATGCTATAAAATAATATTTTTAAAGGTAAATAAATAATTTTATTGAATAAATTGCATTACAAATACAAAAGATTATAGTTTGTTTATAAGATTCATTTGTAAAAGTTATAAATTAGAAAAAATTTTAATTAATGTGAAATATATAATTAAAAGGTGCTACTTATTTTAAATTTTTTTTATTTTGATTTCTTTTAATTTTTTCCATTTTTCTTGTATTCTCCTCGCTTGTTTATTTCTTGGTGGAAGATTTTTTTGGAGAAAAAATCTTTAGTAAATCTTAGATGAATATATAAAATATAAAATTAACTTAATATAAATTTTTTTTAAAAAAAATAAACAATAAATGGGACAGAACAGGTATACATTGACCCGGCCCTATCTCAATAAATACCCAATAATCGAATATCCACTGATATGCGAGACGGATAAGGGTAAGATAATGATTTTGTAAGGTATGGGTCGAGTCAATCAAATGATGCATAAAATGGGTATCCAATCCATATCAACCCTGCGGTAGTGGTGAAATTTGGAGAGAAAAGAGAGGCAGGAACTCAGACAATTAAGGATGAAAGGCAGACTCGAGGGAGGAGATGACTATAGAACTCAAACAATTAATGTCAATGGCTATAGATGGTGACAATTGCAAAAGGTTCACTTGCCCCTATTTATTTTCAGTATAGATGGTGGCAATTTCAAAAAATATCGCTTCCCTCTATTACTTTTGGTATTTTGTGGAGTGTTAATCACATTTAATCCTCTTAAGGTGTATTTTTTGTGTTTTTTTTTTACATAGCAAAAGGTGTATTTCTTTGTGATTTATCACATATTAATCACATATTTTTTGTGATTTATCCTGCTTGTAACAAGCATATGTATTTTACAAATTATTACAAACTCAAGTTTTATTTTCGATATAGATGGTGGCAATTTCAAAAATTCTCGCTTACCTCTATTATTTTCAATATTTTTTTAGAATGTTAATCACAATTAATCCTCTTAAGGTGTATTTTTTGTTATTTATCACATATTAATCACATATTTTTTGTGATTTATCCTACTCGTCACAAGCATATGTATTTTACAAGTTATCACAAACTCAATTTAGTAACTTTTATAAATTAAGATTTTTTTCACTACTTTGGAACCTTTTTTTTTCTTAAAACTGAAATAAAGCATTCGTTTAAAAAACAAGGAATAATTCCGTGACTTTACTTCCTCACTCTTTTTTTTTGTCTCACTTTAACCCTTATTTGACAAAATCACCTTTCTACTATTCTAAATTCTTTTTTTTTCTCTCTTTTGTATTTTTTTCTATTTTTTGTATTTTTTTTCTTTCCCCTTTGATGAGAATATAAAGACCAAGACCCATTCAAGCACATGGGAATTTGGAAGATTCAAGTGAAGACTAGTTGATTGCACGAATGCTTGAGTTTAGTAGGATTATTTGATTTTTCTCGTTGATTTTGATTATTTCTCGTTTTAAAAAGTCTAGGTAATTAAGATAGTTTAATTGCGGCCCATTTGTTAGTAAGGCCAAAAATCTTCCTTAAAGTGTGTAGGGTAGTTTGGTCAACTTTTGGATTAGGGTTAATGCTTGTAAGGGGTATAAATAGCCCCACTTTCTCTTTGTTTTGGGGATCGGTTTTTGGCTATTAAATACAATTAGTGAGTTTTCACTTTCTCTTTGGCAAGGGAGTTTCCTTTGAATACTTGAGAATCTTCTCAAGTTATTCACCTGAACTTATCAATCGAGTATCTCCTTGATTGTGGCGTTCTACTACCTCCAATTTGATTCGTTAATTCGAGTAGTGACGGGTTGAGATAATATCAAAATTGTTCGTGACTTCTAGGGATTAGTTGGGTCAAATTTCCGCTGCCTAAACCATGGTGTTTTGGTTATCTAGATCGAGGCTCACATCAGTTGGTACCAGAGCTAATCGACAACCACCAGGTTATATCTTTTTTTTTCTTTTTCTCTTCGTTTATTTCGAGTCATATATGTTTATCCCAATCTGTTCGTTTGTTTAGAACCAAAAAAAAAAAAAAAAAAGAGTCACTATTCACCGGTACTGTTCACCCAACACTGTTCATCGTACTGTTCACCGACACTGTTCATCGTTACTGTTCACCGACACTGCTCATAGTTACTGTTCATCCGAATACAAATCTGTCTAGCCTTGTTGTTTGTGTTATCTAACTTGTTTATTTGGTTTTCAAATTTGAATTTTGGCAAAACTTGTTGAAATTTTGTGAATCTTGAAGAGAATTTACAATAATCTTGAGTTTCTTGCATTCTTGATCACAATCTTGAAATTTCTGAAGTTCCTGACAATTTCCTTGAAAGTTCTTGAAAGATCTTGGAGTTCTTGATAGTTATTATTTGTGGATTTCCTTGTTTTGTGTCGTGGTCGATAGTTGTAGTCAAGAAAAAAAAACAGAAAACAAAAACGAAAAGAAAAAGAAAGAAAAGAGGAATCGGTTGGCAAGAAAAAAAAAAAAGGAAAGGAAAGAAAGTGGCAACCGAATTGTTTTGAATAGGAAACCAAATCTGATTTGTGCAATCTTTCTTGGAGTAGAATTTGGAAGTTATTAAAAGTTGTTTCAAGAAGATTACCAAAGGTTGTTTCAAGAAGGTTACCAAAAGTTGTTTCAAGAAGATTACCAAAAGTTGTTTCAAGAAGATTACTAAAAGTTGTTCAAGAAGAAAAGGATTTTCAAAGAGTTTCCAAAAACTAACTTGTTTCCAAAATCAATTAGGAAACTAAGTAAAGCACTTGGATAACTCTTTGTACTCATTTGGACACTCTCTCTCCTACCTTTTTAGAAAACTTTCCTAAATTCTCTCATCCATTTTTTTAGGAAACTTTCCTAAATTCTCTCATCCATTCCTAAATTCTCTCATCCATTTTTTTTAGGAAATTTTCCTAAACTCTCTCATCCATTTTTTTTTGAAAACTTTCCTAAATTCTCTCAACCATTTTTTAGGAAACTCTCCTAAAATTCTCTCATCCATTTTTAGGACATTTTCTATATTCTCTCATCCACTTTAGGAAACTCTCCTATATTCTCTTCCTAGATTCTAGGAATACTTTCCTACATTTTCTCCTACATTCTTGTGATTACACTTGTGGAAAGGTTGGTAACGGTTGTTGGACTTGAGCAGCATTTCTCAACTACCTAACCCAACAGGTAAAGGTATTTGGTAAGTTCATTAGAGTGACATCCATATATACGAGTGTGAGTGGATACACGTAAGGGAGCGTGAAAGGCAATATCTTCGGTTTCATTGCTAACTTTTTGCATGTTCCCTCATACGTCATGACGAGTATAAGACGCATAAAAACTAGCCCACAACATTGTCTTCCTGATCCTAAGGGAGTCAAAGAAGTGGCATTACGTGGTGTAGATGAACAATTGGACCTCGTCAAATTTCAGTTGCTTGGTTGGTTTTATACTCGTTGCGGTGTCAAAGATAAAATTTGTAGCTTGGCCATTGATGGTAGTTGTGAAGTCAATCTTGCAAGTGCTATCATGGTTGAGAAATTAAATCTTCCAACCATTGATCATCTTCAACCGTACAAGTTGACGAGCACTCATAGGGATGTTTGGGTTACTAAGCACACACTTGTACCTATTCAAATCGGTAAATATATGGATGAGATGTTGTGTGATGTAGTCCCAATTCAAGTGACACATGTGTTGTTGGGCAAAGCATGGATGTCGAGGCGAGAAGTTAAAATTGTTGGACATACTAATAAGTATTCCTTCTTATTTAATAGTCGTCGTCTTGCACTTGTATCACTTACTTATGACCAACTTTGTATTGATCTAGCATGCATGAAAAGGGAGCTTGAGCGTTATAAAATAGAGAAAAAACTAGATGAGGGAATTGTGCCTGCAGAGGTAAAACCCGAGGAAGTTGAAAGTAATGAGATAAAAGGGTCAACTGTTGAACTAGAAAAAGAGATGGAAAAATCTAATGAGATGGGTGGTAAAAAAAAAAAAGAAGAGAAAGTGGGCTGATCTTGAGCAACCCGGTGAAGGCCTATTATTTTCTTAACAAACTTACCTTTGCTTTGTTTAGTATTTCTTCTTTTATACAGATCAAGCAAAGGCAAGTTGAACTGATCTTGGTGTGTTCCATTCCAAAATCAATTGTAGACGTTGCAAGCCTCCATGGAGTTGGTACTCCAAGAGTTAAACCCCCTTGGTATCCATTCATGGAACAATGTCAACTCAAATCAGTCCACACCAAAGGGAAATTGATTCGAACTCATGTTGAAGGGAACACTCCATATTTTAGGGATGGTTGTGCACCAAGGGTTCGTTTAAAGAACAAGTACCTCAATGACCATTATGATTTTCGTCTTGCTCTTAGTCCACATGCAGCTCCAACATCACCAAATCCACCTTGGTGCCTTGCAAGTGTGTTCGAGTCGGAGTTCGATTTCACGGGATACACTTCATACCACTTTGAGGACCCTTACCTCATGACCACAAACAATAAAGTTGAGCATACATTGAAGATAGTTTGTGAGAGTCAAGGTTCGACGAGGGTTATTTTCCAACTTAGCACATGGACTTTGCATTGGATGCCATCTGTAGCCATCATAACAAGATTGAGTCGAAGGCATGTAACTCGTCTTGTCACCATTCGTGCTTCAATTTGTGGGCAAATTGCTTTTAAGAGGAGGGGAATGATGAGAATATAAAGATCAAGACCCATTCAAGCACATAGGGAATTGGAAGATTCAAGTGAAGATTAGTTGATTGCACGAATGCTTGAGTTTAGTAGGATTATTTGATTTTCCTCGTTGATTTTGGTTATTTCTCGTTTTAAAAAGTCTAGGTAATTAAGATAGTTTAATTGCGACACATTTGTTAGTAAGTAAGGCCCAAAATCTTCCTTAAAGTATGTAGGGTAGTTTGGTCAACTTTTGGATTAGGGTT